ATTTTGGCAAACTAAATTGCAGAATTATTTAAAGGGATCTTTTGATCATGAAAAGACTAATTAATAATGAGTTAGCATTAGTGAATATTCCCACTAATGAGGAAGAACAAAAATATAGTGAAGCTGAAAAATGCATGACAATTTAAGTGAGTCTTAAAACATCTACTCAGTTTAATTCAACTTTTCACTAATTTGTGCTACACTGCGTTCGAATACTGTATTTAAATATTGTATTTTTTACTAACTTGCTTGTAAGGTTCTGTATACAAAACATAATACGAAATAGAGGTAAATGTGAGAACGGCACTGAGGAATCAGTCTCTCTGATCTGGGAGTGCTATATTTACACAGCTTGTAGCATCTGGGAATCCTTACCACTGGGTTGTTTGTGGACCTGTATAGTATTGCAATCTCGTACTGGGGTGGGGTGGGACTGTGACCCCATCAGCATAATGTCTTATTCATACCTTTCCTGGCCATCTCAGCAAAGGCTATGCATCTCGGTAGGGTTAGATTTGTCGCTGCTTTCTGAAGGCTCCAGGCCTGTAGCTGGTCTCAGGTCGAGGGGTGCCGGTGTGTGGGACCTAACCAAACCCCACCGGAGCTGTACCCTTCTCAGGTGTATGTGTTCAGGATTGCAGTCTTCTCTATTATCATTTCATACACCTGTTTTTTTAAAATGCGTATAGTTCATTTCTTGAACTAACTAGATGTAAATCCCTTCCCTTCACCAAGTATTTATGGAAATACCCAAGAGCAGGGTCTGTTTCAAAATCTTTACTACTACATAGAAAGAAAATACGCTGTATTTGACACAACGCTTCCCTTTGCTAACTTGAAATGTGAAAGAAGAGATAGGAAATACTGTGATGCATCTCTGGGGATTTGTCTGATCATGTTTACATTTGGTGTGTCACGCCAACCTAGTGTTCACCCTGGGTCAGAGCCTCTGCTTTAATGGCTTCTGTTCCACTGGCCACGTTCCTGTTTGGCATCATAGCGTAGTTTAGAACACGGATTTCTTTTTAGAGACATAAAACATCTTTGGGCTCTTAGTTCTAAGTAGAGACTGTTGTAAGTAAAAATGGATGCAAATGTAGTTGGTTCTGCAAAATAGCATTTGTGTTTTGAAATGAAAGCGGCATTGTGTGGTGCTCAAAACTCTTGCAATCACTTTCTATGAATATTTGTGCAATTGGGATTTACTAGCAAAATTGAGGTGGAAAGGAATGTTTAAGCACGGATATCAAATCACAGAGTACATCTTCAGCTAAAAAGAAACAGCCAGTGGTGTAGAGATATCATGACAATGCCTTTACGTGCGCTGAAGCTGGCATACGGTCAGAAGCCTTGGGTGCCACCGAAGGTTTTATTAATCCACTGGAGCTATTGACAGGTGGCGCCGTTCAAGACATCCCTTCAGATTTGAAGCTCTGTGCACGAGGAACAAAGAGGAGTTTAGCTGCTGCAGTTTGCAGCAGATGTGACCTGTTGTGGGATGCAAAGATGTACTGAAGTTATCTCGGATTGTTTGCTTCTCAGCATACTAAATACCTCTCTAAAGTATTTCAGAGTCTGAGCCATAAAGTAATTTAAATGCAGAAAGGAAGATAATAAAATAATAGATGATAGAAGAAACCTCTATATAGTATAGACTGTTCCAAAGACCATGAAAGACTTTATCAAATACCTTTTACAGTAGAATTCATTTGTGTTACCACAGGGAACAATTGTGATCCTCACAGCTAGACAATAATAAAACCTGAAAATCTTTCTTCTCCTCCTCAGATCCGCAATATTTTGATGCTGAAGCTTGCCCCAAATTGGTCATCATTACTCTTTAGTTTATTCTCCTGCCCATCTCCCTGATCATTCCATCTCTTTCTTTCCACCGGTTCCTGTTCAGCCAACTCCAGATACCAAGGGAAAGTCCTATGTAGACCACCTGCTGGAGGACTAAGGAAAATTTTGTCCAATGTTGACTCTCAACAAGTAAGACATGATCCAGGCTAGCTTCCCTGGTTGCCTTTCCACCTAGTGCTGGAAATAAAATTTTGGAATAAAAGTCTCAAAAGTTTTGAGTAATCTCAGACTCTTTATTTGTGTGAGTTTGTGCTTTTAATGTTATAGCTTCAGGGCAGCCAGTGCTTGGATGTTTGACCTCTCTGTCTCAAAAATAAACTGTTACTTAGCCATTTAAAAAGAAAGGCTTGTGGGGAAAAAAAAGTAAATCCAAAATTCAAGTTACAAATACAATGAAAATCTGTTAATTCCAATTCTGCAAGTGCTTTACAATTGACTGCCCTGCATAGCCTGTAAAACTAGTCACTGAAGCTAGCTACTACCCAATAGTTAATTAATTAAGAATAGCCAAACACAGCATTGAGTTATTTTCTTACCTTTTTAGCCTCCTGCCTCTGTCTTGGAGTAAAACCTTGTCCATGGGAGGCAAACCAGAACTTTCAATCACAGCAGAGCTGTTCAGCTGCAATGGCAAAACAGCTGCTGGACAAGCTTAAAACTATAGTCCAGCCCTAAGATTTGCTTTGAATTTACATAAGTAATAAATTTAGTTCAGAATAAGTTAAAGAAAAAAGCGAAGCCCCAGTCTTGCAATCTGAAATGTATCTCTGTTCTGATTAACTCATGAAATTTCTAATGTTGTTAAAACTTAACATTTTTAGGTATCACAAGTGTATTAAAAAGCTCTCTTAGATCTGAAAACAGGTCTAAGACTTTTAGGGTGAAAGTGCTAAATGAATTACTAGCAGTGTCTTGGTAATTTTGCGCATTGAACCAACTCAGCAGCTTGAAAGGAAGAAGGATGCTATTGTTTGGCGCCACTATGCTGAATTTGGTTTGTCCCCAGACCTTCCCCAGATCATGTAAATTAGCAAGTGAGCTACTGAGATTAAGTTCCTGCTATTTACAAGTTTGAGTTGGAGAAAGAACAGAGAGTACATTTTTCCACTCCTGACAGAAATAAAAACCCCGTGAATTTTAAGACCTAGTGGAAAAGGTTTAAATTTGTGGAGGTTTTTGAATAACACCAAGGAATAAGCTTCCATCTTTCCATGACCTACTGTACGTCAACTCCGCAGAGCAAAGTTGTAGCAGATGCCTTCTGCTCTGGCACCTGTCTATGCACTCTGTTTTTACTATTTCTCAAGTAATATCCTACTACCTTCGAAATTTGAAATGCAACAAAGCAACAGTCTTCCAAGAGGCAATTGTCTGCATGCCATTCTGTGTTACTAAATGCAAACACGTACACCAAGTTTGAGGAATTATTTTCTGCAGCTAAATTGGTGTGTTTCCAGCCAATGCTGAGAACTTGAAGCTGGAGAATGAAGGATATAAGCCTGTTTGTTAATGCAGCTTCACAGTGAAGGTGTTAGAATTAGCAGAGAAAGAGAGGGAGAGAGAAAATTGTGGAAAAGCTTCATCTATCTCCTTATTGCCTCCTGAGATAGATTGTTCAGAGCTAAAGGAACACTAGACATGAACCAAATCTCCTGCTGTCCTATATAGCTTTTACAATCTCCTCTTTAATAACCCAAACCGCAGGGTAGTCTGAGTATTAGACAAGCCGTTCTTTTGAATTCTCTCTACAATGTGTATAGACATGATAAAAAAACAATTCTCATTAAAGCTGCCAATGCTGTTTCAAAAGCAGGTGGTTTAAAATGTTTCCTATACAAAGCAAAACACGTTTCTTGTGCGTTACACACTGCTTAATAGGGAGTGTAAGATTACACTGCTATGTTGTGTATAACACTGCATTTTAAATAATAGGATATTGTAAGTCGTGTTGGAAATATGTTTAACATGAATATGGAAGATATAATGATATGCACTGAGCAATTTTCAGAAGTGCTGGAACACAGCCTTGTGTGACAACCTCTGAGCTAAAGTAGTTGAAAATAGAATCTGGAATTTGAGATTATACAGTCTCTGATCCTAACTGATTATTTTTCTAGGATATCGTTCAGTCAGCATGTGGGTATATGAAAGATAAGATTTCTACTGTCCTATGGGAGCGTTTATTGTTTATGTTTGTTTATGTTATAAATTAAGGATGGTAGGGATTGAGTGCATTCATCATGCATTTTCATGTTTCACTGAAGTCAGTAGTTTATAAGGAATGCAGGATTGGTCTGAAGTAAAAATTGTGATATACAGCTCCATCCCTAAATTGTCTGTTCATATCCTTTTCCAAATCTGTTTTGAAAAAAAAAAGAAACCCACCGAGGTCCAGTTATACTTCTGTGCAAATTCAGAGTTTGCCATTCACTTCGGTGGGAGCAGATTTTGGCCCTTCATTGATGTGAACGTTTTGCTCTGTAGGTGTTTTTCATCAGCCAGCAGAAACTTGTGGAATCAGAAAACCACAAAAAGTATGGTAATTCAGGTTATCGTGAATAAGCACAGTAATTCTTGTTACCCTTACAAATACATTCCAGTTGCCTCAATGTTTTAATCAGAAGTTGTATTTTAAAATGAACAGAAAAAATGTTTGTATGTATTATAATCTGCTTTTAATGAAATAAAATGTATTTGAGTCTTTAGTATGTCTGTCTATCTTAATTTCAGTATCTTCTGCTTTAAGAAATAATTACTTTCATTTTGATAAATCAGCTTGTGCAAACAAGGTGAAAATTGATTATGAGCTGATTAAGTTAAATAAAATATTAATATAAACAATTACGTAATGTAGCCTGGCAGCAAATTGCTTATTCTTAAAAAGGTGAATTTAAAAAATGTATTTTCTGTGAGTCCTATTTCTTCTGAAAAATCTCTATAAATTCAACAGGTGACTTTATAGATAATCCAGTAATCAGTGTTTCACCCGCCATTTCATGGACCCATGAACTACTGCAATTTTACTTACATGACTCTAGCAACTATTAATGTATGCAAATAACTTGTGAAACATCTAGTTATCACTCTGCTCATATTAGCTCTTTCATATACTAATGATTTATTTTCATTTTCTCCAGGATATAGACCTGCGGCTAACTGGATTTGATTTATAAGAGGGGATTCTGCAGTAAATGGCTGCTCTCTTCATATTGCTGCTATGGAAAACAGAATTGTCAATAGGATGTAGTCTGATAAATAGTGCTGAGTGAAGATGCAGCTTCAATAAGTGTGAAATCAATGGAAGATACTTACCGCATGAAAAGCCTTTTGAGATTTTTCTGACAGGCACCTATTTAGGAAACTTGATCTGTTTCCTTCGGTTGCCCTGTTTTTCCACCAGTGGATACAAATCAGATTGCTTCATTGTAGTTACACAACTAATGTGGGACCATGGCCTTTCCAAGATCCATGTGGCTGAACTGTGTATGGAGAGCGATGATAGTCCGCCTGTTACACATGGGATTGAATGCCACTTTTGCTTTTTGTATACTTGGATTTTTGCTTCACGCTGCAGCTGTGTCCTCCCAAAAATTGGATGATACCAACCCAGTGGTGACCACCAACTTTGGCAAGATAAGAGGGATTAAGAAGGAACTTAATAATGAAATTTTGGGGCCCGTTATTCAGTTTCTTGGGGTTCCGTATGCTGCCCCTCCAACAGGGGAGCGCCGCTTTCAACCTCCTGAGCCTCCGTCTCCCTGGGCAGATATCAAAAATACCACTCAGTTTGCTCCAGTGTGCCCCCAGAACATTATAGAAGGCAGGTTGCCTGAAGTCATGCTTCCCGTGTGGTTTACTAATAACTTGGATGTAGTTTCCACCTATGTACAAGATCAGAATGAAGACTGCCTCTATTTAAATATCTATGTCCCAACCGAGGATGGTGAGTTAATAGCAGGCGAAACAGGGAGATCTTTTTATTTTCCTATTCTACGTTCTAACAATATTAATTCACGTGTACTGGTAGCACGCATGGCTTTCTTTGTTTGCATGCCAGCGTATTATATGTATGCATGCTGCTTTTCTGTGTATGCATCTGTCCTTGGCTTTGGTTTTGGTTTTTGGTTTTGTTTTTTTTTCTTTCTGTCTACACTCATTTTTTTCTCCCACAGCACGTGTATTTTTAGGTCAAAGTTGGTACCTAATTCTCATTGCCACCCACTGACTTCTGGGAAGATGCATCAACATCTTATCCATTGCATGTGCAGGCACAACGAGTTGAGAATCTTCCGCACCTAATAAAGCAGGTCATATTTAAGTTAGATAGTGGTGTTGCATGCTCCTACTGTCTGTGATGGAGCTCCATGTTATTTTCTAGTCTTCTATTCATTTTTCAGTCAAAAGAATATCCAAGGAATGTGCCAGAAAACCCGGCAAGAAAATTTGTAGAAAAGGAGGTATGTATAAAGTGGACAAAAAAAAAAAAAAAAAATGGGGGAAAGATCGCAACCTTGCAAAGGAAGAACAAATAATACAGCTGAGGGAGGCTGATTTGCTGATGCTGTGAAGTGAACCGTTAGGGAGTATCTTGCCCTGATGAAGCCAGAAAGGTGTTTAAAGAGAGGATTGTGTAAAGCAAATGAGAAGATAACATTTGTAAAGCCTGAACTCAGTTGCACCCGATCATCTCTCTTGCACTGTCTCATGGTGACCTTATTGGCAGCTTCTCTGTCTTGGCCTCGTGGTTTAGAGGAGTGTCTGTCACTTGTACGTAGATACAGTATGTTGTATTTGCATGCATAGGCGGTAGCTCATATGCCTGGGGGCTGGTACTTTTGCTGTTGAAGTTGCTGGGATGGCTCCACAGCTCTATATGCCAGTCGTATAGCATAACGGCTATGATGTATTATGGCAAAGCAGAGCTGAAAATCTGCATGGACTTTCTATGTGATACACTTTATTTTCTTGGAACAGTGTTAACTTTCCTGAAAGGTAGATGTGAAACACTTTTTTTCATTTACACGCTTCTAAAAGTGAGCGTCGATTTCCTTTATTATGTGATTACAGCTCTCTTTGTAAAGCCAAAAAATCTCTTA